AAAACGCATCTTAAAATACTGGAAAGTAACGAAAACAGACACATGATGCAAAGAAATATTTTCCTCGGAACCAATTAAAGCTTATAGCAAAGACAAAAGCAAAGGCGATATTATGATATAATTTTTAGATCATGTTTACCACAAGAGTACACTGCTAAGGTTGACCCCTGATGAGGCAGGCCTTAGAGCAAGTACCCGTTACAAGAACTGCCGAACATTCTTTAATATTTTTATATATATATATATATATATATACTAATGAATAATTATATTTCCATCAGAAAGGAATGCCTGGTTTAGACGTTTGGTTCAGAGCGTAAGGTCCTAATAAATTTCATGGACAAGTTTGGCCGATTGATATCTTTATTTTCACACCAGATTTCCAAGATTTTTGTTTTATTCCCTATTCATAGTTTTATAGTTATTTATGGATGTTATGGATTTTAGAAAGTATTGTCAAATAACTAACTTGCCCTGCTTGAAGATAACTGAAATCTTTACTGATCAAAATATTCATATATACACGGGATGATAGGTTTATTTCTATTACTCTTGAAAAGGGAAAAAATTGAAATTGAAATATAAGTATAGGGATACTGATAAATCCCGTAAAACAACCTCCAAGTTCAAAAAATGTTCAAACTCTGAGGTGGAGTGTTACACCGAAACTTTCTGTTTTTAAATAAAAACGCCCAAAGTTTCCAACAAAGTTTATTTTGTATTCCCGTGTAACACTTTACACACAGGACCCGACTGAGTAACTAATTGAACACACAAATTCTACGCTAAATATTAAGAACTGCCCAACCTACAGACTGTCAATCACTGCTAAATTAACCTGTTAATTGTGAACACTATGAATTCTGCATTTTCTCATGGCCAGCACTTCGGACATTCAATCCCCCTGAGACTCGGGTGATAAAAGTCAGCAATGCTGATACAAGAGCTAAATTTCCCAGCCAAATCTTAATGAGCGGTCAAGACCTTATCACATAAACAGATCACTGCAGTCTGTAGCTTAGAGCAATTACTACAAATCAACAAGATTAAGATAATATAAATCAAGCATTAATTATACAAACAATTTCACACAAAATTTCACTTTAACACCTCCCTTCCAAAGATAAAAATTTAACTGTCAATAGTTGAATTTTTTCCAAGTTCATAATTCTGTATATAGCAACATTAAATTTAACCAGTCACTAAATTCACTTTAACCAGTCCAAATAATTATTATATACCTAATGTGTATCACCCAATTTTACTGTTGAATTTACGCTATCACGTGACGTCGTGATCCGATTTTCCGGATCACCAACATGTTGTTTTCTGAATCCATATCACCACTCTCTGAAACTGATGACGTAGTACGCATAGATATGACGTTATTTTTCTTGCGCGTTAAAAAGTCCCTTGTTATTATGCTTTGTTTTATGGATAAATGTCATGCAATTGATTTCTGACGTTTTCTTTTGCTATATATTGCTAGTTATGAGGGGGTATATAATAAATTTATCATTATAACAGTAACTTGATCCGAAGAACCGTATCACGTCTCGTTGACAGGCGCGGATCATCAGATCAAACTCGACGCTTCGCGTCTCGTTAGATCTGATGATCCGCACCTGTCAACTCGACGTGATACGACCCTTCGGATCAAGTTACTGTTATAATAATATATATGTATTTAACAGTTAATAGCAATTAATCATCAAAAGAATAATATAAATCCAAAATGAATTTCACTGTAAATCCAAACTGAATGCACTTGAATTTTATGAATATAAAATTTTCACAATAATTGCCCATAATTCACAAACACATTTCACTTTTCAGATTCTTGATAATCCGTCTGCATTTGTGTCTTTGCTTCCTCTCTTATATCTAACTTCAAAGGTGTACGATTGTAGTGCGAGGGCCCAACGTAAAAGTCTCTGATTTTTATTCTTCAAGCGATGCAACCATGTTAGTGGATTGTGATCTGTTTCTACGTAAAACTTCCTCCCCTCTAGGTAATACGAAAACGATCCAATGGCCCAAACGATGGCCAAAAATTCCTTCTCTATGGTTGAATAGTTCTTTTCCCTCGGAAGTAACTTCTTACTAAGATAAGCAACTGGGTGATCACCATCTGGCAACTGTTGGCTCAGGACAGCCCCAATTGCATTATTACTCGCATCTGTTTGTAGTACAAACGGTAAATTGAAGTTCGGATTGACCAAAACAGGAGCTGTCATCAGGGCCTCCTTCAGTTGTTTGAATGACTGCACTTCCCTCTCCGTCCATTTTAATTCTGCGGGTTGACTTTTTCTCAGTAGATCAGTCAGTGGTACAGTTATGTTTGCATAACTTCCTATATACTGGCGATAGTATCCAGTTAGCCCCAAGAATGATCTTAAATCCTTCTTTGTCAAGGGAAGCGGAAAATCCTCCATGGCCTTCAATTTCCGAGGGTCTGGTCGAATTGATCCCCCTCCAACCATATGTCCCAAACAGATGATTTCTGTTGCTCCCAACTTACATTTTGATGGTCTGATGGTAAGATTGGCCTCATGAATACGCTGAAGCAGCTCTGTTACATGTTTGATATGGTCTTCCCACGTCTGACTGTAAACAATTATGTCATCAAAGTACGCAACAGTATTTTGAGTTCCATCTAAAATACGATCCATAAGTCTTATGAATGATGCTGGAGACGTCTTCATACCAAACGGCATCACTGTAAACTCGAAAAGGCCAAATGGGGTGATGAAGGCGGATTTCTCGCGCGTTTCCTTTGCCAGCGGAACTTGCCAGTAGCCTTTTGTTAGATCAAATCCACTCAAATATTTTGCACTTCCAATTTTCTCAAATACTTCACTCATGCGTGGAATGGGATAAGGATCCGTGAGAGTTATTTCATTCAGTTTCCTATAATCAACACAAATTCTAATTGTCCCATCAGGCTTGTTGACAAGGACAATTGGTGAGGCCCACGGACTTTTGGATGGTGTAATAAGTCCTTGTTCTAACATTTCATTCAAAGACTCCTTCACTTCCTGTTTCTTAGCTTCCGGTATCCTGTAAGGTCTCTGAGTAATTGGATTCTCAGACGTTGTTTTGATTGTATGTGAGATAACATCACACTTTCCCGGCTTTGATGTGAAAATTCTTGAAAATTCCTGACAAACATCCCTTAAACTCTGTCTCTGCACTTGAGTCAGCCCATGTCCAAAGACAAGATCTGAAATGGTTTCTGTGGTGTCGTTAGGAAATTGCTGTTCATTTCCAATTTCATTTTCTGCTGCTGCCAGTAATGTAATTTCAGGTAAATCAAGGTTCACTTTATCAGCCTCATCCTTAGTTACCACGACATTTAAGTCCCTTGGTTCGGCATCACATTTATTCATGTGATTTTTGGCACTTAATTCATTTTGTTCTTGTTCTTTTGCTTTGGCTCTCGTAACCACAGCTGCAACTTTGTTCCTCTCCAGAACATCTATTCCCAATAAACCATCTGCAACCAGATCAGGTACTAAACCTACCTGAACATGTCCCTTAAACACTGGTGTTTCCAGGTTAACCACTGCTAACTTAGCCTCGAATGGCTGTCCAATAGCTGTAACCAAGGAAGTAGTTTGTCCATGTAGAACACATTTTGGATCAACAAGATCCTCCCGCAATAGCGTCATAGATGTTCCAGTGTCCTTGACCATTGACACTTCCACATCATCCACTTTCCCCGGAACATAATGTAAACCCCATAATGCTCCTTTCACGAAACACGACGCTAGATTACCTTTCTTTGGGCATTTGTTTGCATAATGTCCAAAGTTCCCACAGCTAAAATATTTCACTTTTTCCAAACTTTTCTGTTTTCCGGAGTTCCCCTGTTCCTGGCTCTTCTTCTCACCTAACACTTTAGGATTTTGAAGTTTTCTGTCCTCGGCCGATTTTGTTGGTAGAATGTAATCATCAGCAGCTTCAACTAACTCACTACGTCCCTTATTCCGTCTAATCCACTGGGCTTGTTGAGGAGATAACGCCTTTAAGAAATATTCTTCTCGGAACTTTTGTACGGGATCTTTCTCATCAATGAAACGACTCAAATACAGATCTATTCTCGACATTAATCCTCTGTAAGTTTCTCCTGGTCTACGTTTAATTTCCTCCAGGAACTGAAAGTAGTCTGCTGGGCGCTTGCCGAATCGATTCAAAAGAGCCTTATACAGATCTCTGTATCCCGAAGTCACTTGCTGCGACACCTCTCGAGCTTCTCCGGTTAAAAGTGACCTAAGCTGTAAAGCCTTTGAGTTCTCAGTCCAACCTGCATGCTCAGCTACCGCATCAAATTCAGAGAGATAGCACAAAATGTCATCCTTTTCCTGATTAAATGGTTGAAGCTTAATTTTTGGTATTCCTGTCGAATGTGCTCCTGGCGTTGAATTGGCCTTCTCTAGCTGAACACGTAATTCCAAAATTTCTTTTTCATGTTCCAATTCAAGTGTTTTTAAACGTAATTCATGTTCCTGTTTTTGTTTAGAAAGTTGAAATTCCAATTCCAAGTCCTGTTTCCTAGGCATTTTAATTCCGCTTGTTAAATCCAAATATATGTATAAAATTTCAAACAATATTTCACATTTAATTAGGATCCCACCGCTGCCACCACTTAAAATGTTACACCGAAACTTTCTGTTTTTAAATAAAAACGCCCAAAGTTTCCAACAAAGTTTATTTTGTATTCCCGTGTAACACTTTACACACAGGACCCGACTGAGTAACTAATTGAACACACAAATTCTACGCTAAATATTAAGAACTGCCCAACCTACAGACTGTCAATCACTGCTAAATTAACCTGTTAATTGTGAACACTATGAATTCTGCATTTTCTCATGGCCAGCACTTCGGACATTCAATCCCCCTGAGACTCGGGTGATAAAAGTCAGCAATGCTGATACAAGAGCTAAATTTCCCAGCCAAATCTTAATGAGCGGTCAAGACCTTATCACATAAACAGATCACTGCAGTCTGTAGCTTAGAGCAATTACTACAAATCAACAAGATTAAGATAATATAAATCAAGCATTAATTATACAAACAATTTCACACAAAATTTCACTTTAACATGGAGTCAATATTCAACAGGGTCAATTTTCAACTGGTTGAGGTCATCAGGAATAAGACAAAAAATTATCAAGCTGTTGAAAAATGACCCCGGGTATAAATTCAACGACTTTTGGTCTCAATTTTCAACGCAGAAAAAAAACCCTGGTTCAATATTCAACGTTGAAAAATGACCCCCGAATCAATTTTCAACTCGGGTCAATATTCAACGTTACACCGGCGACAACAGAGATCAGGCGAATGATTGAATTTTATCTTTGCAATTCATTTTTTTTAATGATAAAAGCCACACTTCTCTATTCCAGTTCATATACCAATACGAGTTTTACTGAGAGTAAAATATGAAATTTAATTTACAATTATTATTTGGATCGCCCACATAATCAATTTTACTATACAGAATAATACTGACAGTTTTATTAGGGGAAGTTAGAATCAAATTATAGATCTAGATTTGTAACCTTCCACCGGTAAGTGGTGTTGTCTTTTTACTTTCGAAAACATTTCTAGAAAAACAACAAATGGGTAAACAAAACCCACTAGAAATCAAAATTTTTTTTACCCATTTCTAAGTTTTCTTATCACATTAATGACTATTTTTTTTTATCATAATCAAGTGTGTTTAAAATTTTAAAGATTCCTCTTCCTTTGTAAGGACTACCTAGAAAAAACGCCAACTTCTCTTTATCTGAGCTTGGTAGGCTTATTCTTCATTTTGTATATTATTAAAAGAATTTTGAATTATGTCCATAGATTAAAGTGTCTAAATTTGTCATTTGTTGAGGAGCAGTATACTCACACAATAAAATTATTTAGGAAAAGAATATTGTACTATTCGGATTTAAAAAATGAATAAAAATTACAAAAAATGTCAAACGTATGAAATAGAAATTTTTCTAACAAATTGAAATTTATTATTTATTAAAGTATCAAGACAAAATGAAAAAAAACCTAATGACAAAAGAAATGTATTACACGAATTAGTGGAATTCATTTATATTGTTACAAGTAGGTAATCTGTGGATACCTATTTTACGATTGAAACAAATTTTGACCTAAAAAATATTTGCTTTCCTACCATTTGAATAGAGGACAGATTGTGTCTTCTTACAGTTTACAAATAAAAAAGATACGGCAATTGTTATGAAGGCATTCATGGAGACCATTGTCTTTGTACTAATTAATTGCATAATAAACGTTACTGAAGATGAAAAACACACTTTTAAAGGAAGAGAAAATGTGATTAATATTATATACAAAAAACATCGTGACGCAGAGGTTAGAGCGTCTGCTCTAAAGTCGCAAAGTGAGGAGTTCATCCTTACGTCGCGGGTTCGAATCCCACTGTTGGACGTGGAGACCGGTCCTTCGGATGAGACCGTATATACCGAGATCCCGTGTCGCAGTAGGTACTGGTACGAAAAAGATAACTGCTTGTTCAATGATATGGCCCTTAGTGACGAGTATAGAACAGAATTTGCAACTCTCCACCGGCAGGTGGTGGCGTCTCCATATGAGTGAAAAATTCTAGAGACGGACGTTAAACAATAAACAAACAAACAATCAATAAATCAAAAAGAAAATCAGTTGCATTTGTTATGGGTTCTTACAATAACTACATGTATTAAATTGTTGAAAAGCTTCCTGCTGCTGTCTTTTAGCCGACTAGGCAAGCAATTTACAATCAAATACATATATAATGGAGAGAAATTCACATTACAATAATTCTCAATATATTTAGCAAATGAAAATTTGAACAATTGAATAAAACACTATGTATTTCAATGATTTTTAATTATACTTACATACATTTTATATTTATCAACTCTGATTTACAAGAAGGTATACTGTGTATTTAATTTAAATACAATAATTATGTTTTTGCTTGATTGTAATTGGATCGAACATGCAAGTCATTTATGATGCCTGCAAGGATCTTGATTTGGAAATCTGTTCTATATGTCATTGTTTTTCTCCAAAATACTTTAAAAAGTTGGTTGTTGTCTACAATACAAAGATTTTGCTCAATTTAATGAAGCTTGCAGACAACGAGGCCTTATTGGAGAAACGGGAGTGTCTGGGGAACAGTTGTAAAGGTCTAAGTTACAATAGCAAATAGTTTATCTAAGTATTTAATAATTGTTTTCCTAACTATTTAAAATATATAAGATATAAGAACATTAGGCTGCTGAAATCATATGATCCACATAAGTAAAAAATTTCATGCTATAAAATATTTTGTTAAATACAAATAAAGACGTACCTGGGCACCATCTATCGAGTGGCTTATCCTCTGATCGTGGATACCTAACATCGCTGTATTGAAAAATACCTAAAATCTCGACATGGAAAAGAATTACATTAAGTAAGAAATTTGTTCTTAAAAATATGAATAAAGTAAGATTTTGAAAGTCGACCTGTTTAGAAATAGTAAAGAGAAAATTTTCAAACTTCACAAATTAAAGTACATGTAATTAGCAAAGTTTAATAATTGATTATGAAGTTAGAGTACATACTCAGAAAATCATTTTCGTCATACCAACAACATGTCCATAGAGAAAAAAAAATAGCACATTACTCACCGATGGTGATATATTTCAATTTGAATAATACAAGTTCACTCCGTGGCATTAAAAGTGTTTACTAATAAATTATAATGAAAAATACCGTAGTAGATTTAGTGCCATGGTGCTTACCTTTGTATTTCCGTATTTGCAGAGGATCTCTCCTGGCACAAGATGGATTGTCCATATATTTGTACAGTATACATACTTCATTTTCGTACGTAAATGTATAACAGTTTGCTTTCTTTAAACAATTCGCTTCACAAAGTGTTAAACTTATAGGCTTTTCATCATACTTATCATCTTCGCAAAATTGTTTTTGAGTTTGATTTCGCAAGGTTGATAATGATGACTTAATCATACATTCTCCAAGATCTAAAATAAAGTATACACCATAGATAAGTATAAATGAATAACCGAATAAAAATTCAAATAAAAACAATAAGGATACTTAATAAATGAATAAACGAATATCTATATGTAGGGACATTCTATACAAGTTTTCCATGGATCCAAAATACTGAATATCAATATCGAAACCCGGCGCTGTGTTGCAAGGATTGCTACAAGAAAGATATATAAAAATTTAGTATGTGAAACATATTGAGATGGCGAATTCAAGAGTATTCAATATCAAAAGTTCATAAAATAATACAAAACAGGAGTAGAGCAAACACGGAACTCCAAAACATCAGAAATGGAATTAGGTGTTATGGAGGAGTGAGCATTCCCTGCGGACCAGTCACACGCGCCGTGTGCTCCTTGTCATCATCGGGAAATCACGGAAACATCCGTCGTAAATTAAGTGTATAAATAATGGACGAACAATTGGTTTGAAAAACATCAGTCACTGTCAGCATTTGATTCAATGTTTAATTGTATTTGTTGACCATAGAACTTACCAAATGATGACTTTAAACGATACTGCTGACATTCTTGTTCCATCAACTTGTTTGTCAATAATTTACTTAGTTTTAGAAATTGTTTATATGTATCTCTTTTGTATCGAATCAACTGAGATACATAAACTCCGTATGCAGGCGATGAAGGTATATTGCTGCATAAGTAAGGAAAGTTGACGATCAAAAAGTTAAAGTCATCACGTTTATCATAGAACTTGGGCATTAGATTACCATTAATGTCTTTCTTAAGTAAAATATCTAATTATGAAACAGATGTGTCAGACTCTGAGGTTTCTTTTATCTCAAGCTCACCAGAATATATCGTATTGACATAAGAATGGAAAATACAATTTTCATTGAATCTACGTCTCCGATATATCTAAATGTCGAGTTTAAGGCCACAGCAAGTGTTCACTTCTTTTCACGCATAAGATTTTGCACAAATTCTGCTTCATATGAATACAAAATAGGCCTGCTAATAACGAGGCGCAATTGGTACCCATGGTAATTCCAATAGATTGTTGGAAGACCTAATCTCCAAAAACCGCATAGATATTGTCAATCAATTATATTGTCAAAATTATGAAAAAGATATATTGTACATACATGTACATGTAGTTCACAATTTGAACATTACGTAGGAACATGAGTTTTTAAACAGCGCCCTCTTTCTCTTTTATAATAATAATCTACGACCCGAAAGGAATTATCAATTTACGCATGTCTTGTCCCTTCCTAGCTTGGGACATAAATAAGTCCTATTTATTTACAGTTTTACTTTTTGAATTTCAATTTAAAATATTAAGATGTGCCCGGAAGACTGCGAGGCACGTCAGGTTAGTTTGATCTTCTGCGGTGATGTTTGATTCCCAAAAAACAATAAAATTATTTATTGCTACGAAGTAATGCATCGTACAACGTTGTATTTACATCACATAGTGTTGTTAAATAATTATAAAGATACTGAAATGAAACATTTAAAAAATAGAATTTGTACATGAATGACATAAATTAAAAGACTAATAATTTGTAGGCCCATTAAATTTTAAAGTAATATTATTAAAATGTTAGAAACAAGGTATGTATGAGAAACACTGTTAAAAAGAGAAATTGAAAAAAAAATTAAAGAGAAAAAAATAAAATATAGATATTAAGAATAAAAAAAAGTCATAAAAGTTAATAGAAGACGGTAATATAAAAGAGGAGAGATTAGAAATAAGAATATATAAAAACTATGGGGAGAGCTAATAGTGTTGCTTAGAATTACCAAACATTTTGGCCCTTTTCAAGTTTATCCTGCTAAAGACATTCATTTTTTCCCCAAAGAACCAGGGGTGAATTACTTTTAGCCTTTCCATTCAGAATTTTTCTTTGTTTTTCTCTGAGTACCGGTCAGTAATAACTACTTTCAAGTCCCCCATGTCTGCAAAAAAATTTTGAAGGTTAAAATATTCCTCAGCTGGTTCGTTGAGTTTTTTGGTTTTTATGGTCAAATGGTGATTATTGATTATCCTGCGGAAATTTTCCGTTTTCCCATCATCCCAAGAATCCTTACAGTAGATGAAGTATAAGTGTGACAGTCAGACGATTGTCGATGACCATAAAGCTAAGTTTATATGGCACCTGACTTGAGATTCAGGGACCTAGGTTCGATTCCTGGTCTAGTCTGTCAAGTTTTTGCCTCTCAAGTTTCATTTGGTGTCGTGCCATGCCCTGGAAGTGACAGGTAAAAGATCTTTCAGGGAAGAGCATGGGTTGATATTTTCGACGGGCCGCCGAAATATGGCTGAAATATTGCCGATTTGGGTAAAAAAGCAATTAATCAATCAATCAATTGAAGGACCGAAAATCTTTAAGAAGCGAAAAATGTTATAGTCAAACGGGTTCGATCGCCGATGATCAAAAAGCTCAGTTGTTTGAGACACCCGACTTATGATTTAGGGGGGTCTGTCATATTTTTCTTCTCCCTCGTTACATTTGCAAATTTTCTGTATCACATGTACACGTAAATTTCTCTAGCCACTTGTTGGTGCGGACAGTAACGGGACTTTTAAAGCTATATGTATCAGATGATAGATTGTCCAGTCTGTTTTTCTACTACCACGTCCTTTGAACTCCTCTCCTAAAGAAGGCCAAGGAAGGTTCTCAAGGCTTGTCATTTTTCTTTTGGAGTAAAAAGTTGAATTTCGTTTTAAAGAATACCATCGAGGTTCTTAAAAACTGCTTGAAAAGTGGGAAGCAGACGTACAATGTTGTTATGTTTTTCTCAATGTAGGGCGTTTTGTCTGTCATGTCCTGCCATCTCATCAATAGCAGTTTTTAATGATCTGGACTTTTAGCCCCCTTTGCACGAATTGGACTGCACGAGATTGCCCTGTTCCTGATATTTTGCCCCTTTGTACTTATGCTCAATAGAATAATACATTTATTAAAAATAAGAAAATGTAATTTACCTTCATCATTTGTTTCGCAGATAAATATTTTTGCTGTGGAACAGTTTTCGGTAAAAAGGGTCTTCTCGAATCGATTGTAGTAAAGACAAAACATATCACCCGGACTTACTGCGGTTATATTAACCGGAACTTGGGAATCAAGGTGATCACAATTTTCTAACATACTTTCATTGTTAGAAGACCTCAAAAAAGCTCCAATCCACAATCCTGCTGAGATTCTTAAAAATGAAAGATTTCAAAAATTTAATTTTAACAACTAATAGAATCATAATTTTATTTCAATGTTTATGTCATTTTATGAAAGTCTTGGATAACACATATGACTAAACTTGATCATATCATTTCTAAAATTATCTTTAATGCCTATTGACGATCAAAGGTACCTCAAGCCGGAATGTGTTTCAAGCAAATTATCAACCTCTTCCAGAACCAGGTCTAAAAAGTACATCTCACTCAGTGATGTAATTTGTGGTAGTGTCCCGTTACTTGAAGCACAAACATTATATGCGGTGTGCCATGACGCTCCTGGTTGATGGACAGTATATCTACATTTTGGATCCCTGTCTGCAAATGAAATTCTAGTATGGAACAGTATTCAAGCTCTTTAGTCAATTCCAACAGTTGAAATCAAGAGGAGAGCAAACACGGACATCAAGAAAGTCGGAGGTATGATCAGGTGGTTCTTGTTTCATCACCTTCCTTATCAGATAGCACATTTGTTCATACATAGAGCACGCTCTTGCCCATCAAATCAACTAGGAAGTTAAACCCCATATGCATGTGATTATAATATGTTCAATTTGCTACATAAGTATTAAGTAAAAGAAGTTTATACTCCAAATTGTGAAGTCTTGTATTTACATATATCATAAAGCTTTGTTGTTAGGCGACCATTCACATCTTTATTTAGTAAATTTTCACATATTAAACAGATGTGTCAGACTCTGGCAAGCTCATCGGAGATAAATCTAGTCGACATACGAATCTACGTAATTATTATCAATCCATAAATATGTGTTGTCAATATATATATATAATAGTGTTGCATTATGCATGTACTATGCCTAAATAGTAGGCAGGGTTTGACACATGGTGCACGAGCCGGAGGCGAGTGCACTATGTGTCAAACCCTGCCTACTATTTAGGCATAGTACATGCATAATGCAACACTATTGTTATTATTATGCTGACTGTTGTAATTATCTATGCGGCAATTCATTTGACTTTTTCCTGAAAATATCGGTGCTAACACAGCGCACTTGCAAGAACTCATTCAAAATATGCATGCTAAAATTGGTTGCATGCTTAGTTATTTTGGTTACTAGTATTTTCTCCAAATAAGTCGGGATTTTCTGTCCCAAGACAACTCATCTTTATTTTCAGTTTTGTTAGTAAGACTGATTTGTTCGCAGACGTCGATTCTCATTGATAATTTTCTTTTACATCCTTCAATCAAGCGTTATATAAGAAAGCGTTTTAATGACCCCATGATATCAGTTCATCCAACGATCTGTTTGTAATTAGTTTGAAACTTTGTTGTACACATTTATCTAAGGTTCCTTAGAATAATATAACTGTTTTCAAATAATATTTGTCTATTTTTTTACTTCTTGTGTCAATTGTATAAATTAAGTTTATATATTTAATAAAATTCCTCCAATCAGTGATCGTCTCTGTGGCGTAATCGATAAGGCATCGGACTGACAACCTAATGGTCGTGAGTTCGATTCCCGGGGTGAACATTGAAGGATTTTATTCAGTAAGTTAAGCCGTGCTCTATTTCGGCATAGTATGCTTACGCTATATAAATCCTTAGACCACTATGCGAGAATAGTAGGGTATGGGTTATATAGAGACAAACTGACAGGAAGCATAATAATATTGTATATATTACTGTACCAAACACTGGATTTTTCTTATATATATATATATATATATATATATATATATATATATATATAAAGCACATAAACCAACAAAACTGTATATCCTAAATGTCGGATCTACCAAGTAGATACAAGGTCACGGATGGAAATTTATATAAAGCTCTAAAAATGACCAACGACACGAACAATAAAAATTGTCAAATTTTCGGGACGCCCTGTCCCTTCCTCAGGACAAAGAAAAAAGTTTTAAAAGTCCAAGTCAAAAAGAACAAAGGAAAAAGAGAAACAAAAAACAACTAGCACTACTACTAAACTACTAAACACTATATAGTTACATACTTAGTTACATGTTGATTTGGAAATTTTTAAGAACACTATTTAAGAAAGAATCCGGACCGCTATCAAATGCGACCGATCTATCGGGTATACTCGGGTGAAGTGCGATTTACATAATTGAACGAATTAATTATGCTAATTAATTACGACAATCAGTAAATCGTACATTGTTTCATTCTCTCAAAATGGCGTAACTATACTGAATAAAGAATAATCAAAGAAAAATAATAATAAAGAAGGGCATTTTAACATATGAATTATGATCTATCATAAATTTTAATTTGAAATGTTAAGAACTAATTATCGGTAAAAAAATAATTAATAATTAATTAACAATGGCGTAAGCAATACATAGTTATGTGGGTTGTTCGAGAGTTGGTGACGCAAATTAACTGTAGAGTTTACACTAAATTGAGAGAATAATCTTGTTTGGTATCATCAGGAATCGGGTCTAGTTTACGTTCATTCTGGTGAAGTCATTCAGTTTGTTAATACCATTGGGGCGGAATGACTTCAATCTGTGGATCCAGAACTCTTCTTTGCTTTTTCTCTGAGCGTCTGTCCATCTTGGGTTATGGTCAATCACCACTACTGTCATGTCCTCCCATTTGTGACCCTCAAGGTTGAAATCTTTCCCAACGGGTTCATTGAGTTTTTTGGTCCTAATGGTCGAACGGTGGTTATTGACTCTCCTGCGGAGATCTCATGTTTCACCAATATACTGTTTGGAGCAAACTTTGCAACTGAGGAGATAAATGCAGTTGTCAGTATGACAGGACAAATTTCCTAGTATTTTGTAGCTGCGGCCTGTAACTGGGCTGTTAAAACTGTCTGTGTCAGTGCTGTGCTTACAAAGAAGACATCTTCTGTCAAAGCAAGTTTTAAAGCCCCTGTTAGGTAATGGGTTGTCCAGTCTGGTTCTTACTACCATGTCCTTTAGGTTCCTAGGGCGTCTGTATGCAGCCAATGGGGGTTCCTTAAAGACCTCTGCCATTCGTTTGTTTGAATGGAGAATTGGTAGGTTCTTTTGAAGGATACCGCTTAGGTTCTTAAGGACGGGATGGTTTGTGGTTACCAAAGGGACCCTACCGCTATTGTCTTTCTCCTTGTAGCGTAATAATTTTTGCCTGTCATGTCCCGCCATCTCATCAATAGCTGTTTGTACGTTGCGGGCATTGTAGCCTCTTTTGCGTAGGTGGGACTTAAGAAGACCACTTTGCTCCTGATATAAGGCAGGGGAAGAACAGATGCGTCGAATTCTGGTGGCTAGACCCTTAGGCACTCCCTTAAAAGTGTGTGGGGGATCACAGCTAGTGGGCATAAGATATAGGTGGGAATCTGTGGGTTTGGTGTGGAGACTGAATTCGATTTCACCATCAATCAGGGTAGATGTGGTATCTAGAAATACGTTTTTCGAATTAGATACGTCTACTGTAAATTTGATCGACTGATGAAAGGTGTTGGCAAACGTAATGAATGCCTTGAGGCTCTCGCGACATTCCACCCACTTCATCTCTATATCGTCAATAAAACGCAACCAGCTATGGGGCCTAAATGGTGCTTGAAGTAACAAGTTGCGTTCCAGTCTGCCCATGAAGACATTGGCATACGCAGCACAGTTAAGGATACGAAAAGGAGGCGGAGCCTAATTTGTACGGGAAAACTTGACTATGACATCATACACAATATATGTCATACAACATTTCTTTAAAATACAACACAATGAGTTTATCTGCTAATTTAACCAGTTAGAAATCATCAAACTACATAAAAACTTACTACAGCGTGTTGTTTTGTTGTTAGTTAAATCCCACATAACAAGTTATAAACAAGTCACTGATCGCAATACACTTGTCAATATGACGTCATTTCTTACAACGTGACGTAGTTTGTACGCAGTGAGAGACAGATCAAGTAATATTTTCTCAACAAAATATGTATTCTCTAATTAAATAAAATATTATTTACAGATATTCTATGGGCCAATAACTTGAATTTAATGTCTTCTTCACTATTTTATGAATATATTTTCTGTACATTACGTATTTAATTGACACTGCCGTATATTTGTATGCAAGTACATCGGAGGGTAATGTGGGGGGTCTTAATAAATCGATCTAGTGCATGAGCATACACTCTATGGATCAAAGTAAGCTTTTACATTTCAACTATAGAACTATTAAGGGATCTGAAAAGTGCTGCGATCCTGAAGAAATCTTAAAAACAATTTAATCATATCAATATTTCATGCCGCTGACCAGCAAAAAATATAGCATTCGGTCATACAAGTATAATTTTAACGATGAAATTGCAGAATTTAGACAGGATCGCAGCATTTTTTAGAAACTACAATGCGTGTTGAAAATATCTATATACTAAACTTGGAAATTTAACTTGGTTATGCCCTTGCACTAGTGATATTTATATGTAACATCAATACTTCAAGTCATTGTGCTAAAATCGCGTGACTGACGCATCACGTGACTAGTCTAAATATAAAATATAATCGTCCTCGATATGTAGTTATTAATCATAATTACAATTATCCGATATAAATGACGTACTAAAAATAATCGCCATCCCTATTACGAATACATTTTTAAATACAAAATTTAGTCGATATTTCCATTGCGCACCTTAACTGTAGTGCGTAAGACGGTGCCATTTTCGTACCCATAGCAGTGCCATTAACCTGCAGGTAATGTTCTCCATTAAACATGAAGTTGTTGAACTTGAGAACGTGTTCAAGGAGCTTGGCAAGGGACTCGGTAGAAGGAATTTGTATGGACTTACTATCCCAGACTTCTCTACAGGCTTCGATACCCTCATCGTGCGGAATATTGGTGTACAAAGATGTGGCGTCCATAGTCACGAGGAGGGTATGATCTGGGAGGCCAGTAGAGGGCTTCTTGTTAATGTAGTCCGTGGTGTCCTTGAGATAGGATGGCAAATTCTCTACGTGTGGACGGAGATGTAAATCAATGAATTCAGAAATTTTCTCCGTGGGGTGTCCAATTGCGCTGACTATGGGGCAACCTGGCATGCCTTTTTTGTGTATTTTAGGAAGCAGATAGAATTGTCCTGGTCTACAGTCAATAGGATTTAAGGTCTCGTAGACGTTGATACCAATCTCATTTTTCTCAAACATATCGTCAAGAGTTTTGGTAATGGCGGTGGAGAATTCTTTAGTAGGGTCAGAGTCCAGTTTCTTATAGAAACGTTCGTCTGAGAGTTGTCATTGGGCCTCCGCCATGTAAATCTCTTTATCCAGTACGACAACTGTAGAGCCTTTTTCTGCTTTCTTGATTACAATGTCATCCCGATTTTTTAATGATTGTAAGGCAGATCTCTCTTCCTTACTCAAGTTGTCGGGAGTCTTGTCTGGCATTGAAAGGAGCTTCTCTATGTCTGACTCAACGGCGTCAATATACGACTCAAGCGCGCCACACTTGATCAGGTTCCCAGTCACTCTTGGGCCTATAGAGTTTGTGTTCCTCTAGATCGTGTAAATCTGGCTTGAAAGAGTCGTAAGAATTTACTGCGGAGTCTTTTCTAGAGAAGTGCTCCTTCAAACGAAGTCTCCGGAAGAATGCTCGGGTGTCCTCTCTGACTTGCTTTTCATCGACCTCATGTGGCGTGGGGCAGAAATTCAGCCCCTTGGAAAGAAGTGAGGTCTCCGATTCGGAGAGAAGAGCACTTAATTTATTGAGCACTGGGCAGACGTCAGGAGTTTGTATGGGTCCGTCCCTCGCGATTGTCTTAGTGCGCTTGAAGCGTCTCGAGCGAGGTTTACGTGTTTTGTTAACTCTGACTTCTGACCAGTTGTTCCTAGACTGTGGAACACTGTCGCGAAGAAATTTCTTTCTTTGAGTCTTGTTGACTTTTTTTGTTAGGGCCATATTATAGGTATCTATAATATTATGGGCTTCATCAAGATCGGCCTTGGACATGATATCGTTTAGGGATGATTCTAAGGACTTGATCTCACTCTTCAACTGTCATAACTTGTGGGTATCCCAAGAAAGACAGAGTGACATCAATTGTTTAGAACATCTCTTTGTAATAACGTCCCAGCGTTCCTGAAAGCGTTTGGAGATTGGCCCTATGTTAGGCGTAACATTTATCTGAAAGCCTTTCGGTATAATGTTACACTCTAAGTAGGTCTGTAAATTGGAGACCGGTGTTCAGTTTTTATTGATTTTTGGTGTTCTTTCTTCATAAGTTTGAATGTTGGGTTATCTTTTATGGACATATTTGAAAATAAATAATTGCCAAAATGATAAATATTTTAGTCGTGTGAAGTCGAAAGATTCAACGAACGATTGTTCTGGATTCTTATCTATTTCGTAGATAATTCGTGCAAAAATTCAAAAAATTAAAAACAAATGTTATATGAGTAAAAATCGAAAGGGAAAAGTGGAAAGAACTAATTTGCCATGGTTGGTTACCAAATAAATGATAGAAAAAGTCAAGTAATGAAAGACATAACCAAAAATAAATGACAGGAACATAAAATTGGATAAATAAATGATGGATGTACGGGTGGATTTGTGAAGGTACAGTTGGCGAAAAACGATATAAAAAGCACTAAAAAACCAACAACACTGTATATCCTAAATGTCGGATCTACCAAGTAGATACAAGGTCACGGATGGAAATTTATATAAAGCACTAAAAATGACCAACGACACGAGCAATAAAAATTGTCAAATTTTCGGGACGCCCTGTCCCTTCCTCGGGACAAAGAAAAAAGTTAAAAAGTCCTAAGAACAAAGGAAAAAGAGAAACAAAAAACAGCTAGCACTACTACTAAACTACTGAACACTATATATTTACATACTTAGCTACATGTTGATTTGGAAATTTTTAAGAGCACTATTTAAGAAAGAATCCGGACCGCTATGAAATGCATCCGGTCTATCGGGTATACTCGGGTGAAGTGCGATTTACATAATTGAATGAATTAATTATGCTAATTAATTACGACAATCAGTAAATCGTACATTGTTTCATTCTCTCAAAATGGCGTAACTATACTGGATATATATATATATATATATATATATATATATATATATATATATATATATATATATATATATATATATATATATATATATATATGGAATACATTATTCATAGAGGTGTTTTGAAATCGATCCCTGTTTGTTATCTTCTTCTTTTACTTTCTAAATTGTAGAATTATGATGATTTGAAATGTAATTAAGTTCGTATTATTTTTCTTATAAAAACTAATGTTTTCCTCTTCATACGTGAAGTATTCTCAATTTCTAATAAGTACGATTAGTATTATTCAGAATATCTTTCTTCCTATCACGAAATCCATAATCTTACCAACATGAATGCGTCTGTAAGACTAAAGTTACTTACCTTGTAAAGAACATAATATGTTTGGACCAAATATAATTGACATGATCCATGCCGTGAGCAGAAACTTTATCATCTGAAATGTGTTGAAAAAATTGTCATTTGTAAATATGCATCTTGGTTTACAATTTTACTCTTTCCTTACGGATATTTTGTTTTTTTTCCCCAAAAATAAGGTATCATATTTTGAGTTTTATTGGGATGTTAAAATACTTGGTCATGTGATCAACTCTCATGAAGCCCAATGGGCTTTATGGAAGCTTTGATGATGTGCCAACTCGTTTTACATCCCAATAAAACTAAAAAAAAATGATACCCTATTACTTAAATTTACATGCCTGACTGATTCATTACAAATAGTAAGGTACTTAAGTAAAGTTTGAAATCCATAAAGTTTTTTTTCAAAACTCAACGGTATAAATTGAATGTGTTGATAACGTCGATCGCTTGTGACGTCACTGTCAAATTACGAAGATCGCTCATGCTTAACAAGCAATTGATGGTCACATGACGAACGTGTTTTGCAGAGATGGAAAAACGCCTTGTTCAAATAGTATTATATTAAGGGAAACATTTGCAAATGTAAATATAAATTGTATGTTGTACAAGCAGATTCATGCATGTCTATTCTTAATTTTAAACAATGCACAAATGAATAAATGAAAATCATTATCGGGTTGCCCTTGTTTGATTTTACTTTGTTCATTTATTTAAGAAATGGCACATAAAACAAAAGTTTACAAATGAAACATGACAACATGAAATCTAGACAGATAATAGAAATACAACATTATTACATACGAGGGTTGTTCGATATGTATTGGGTATTGTACGATATCTCAAAAGCATTCGATTCAAATAGTCAAATGGACATTACGTCCCTTCAAAGTATTCTCCGTGATTTAAAATACACAATTTTAATCTCTGAATCTATTTCTGAAATGCGTCACGGTACGCTGATTTAGGTATACCTCTGAGGCACTGACTGACGGCTGAGCCAAGGGCCTGTCGGGACTTGTATCGACGACCAGATAAGAATTTTTTAAGTTTTGGAAAAAGGAAAAAGTCGCATGGTGCTAGATCCGGAGAATATGATGGGTGTGGCAAGACGGTAACCTTCTCAGACTTCAAAAATTGCTTCACAAGCTCTGATGTATGTGATGGAGCATTATCATGAAGAAGGCGAACATGCCTAAATCCCGACACAGAACGTCGTTTCTGATAATATTTCTTGAGCTTTTTCAGTACAACATCTCGGTAATACCGACCTGTAACACGTTTGCCCTTCGGCACCGGAATTTGT